ACTGTGCAGCGCACCAACTGTCCTCTAGCTAATTTCTGCGCATTGTACAGTTCATCTGTAAATAAGAACTTTTGGCGAGCACTTGAAAATTTAATGAACCATTCGAAGAGTCGGCGCTCTACGTATAATTGATTTAAACTGCTGAAGCGTTTCAACAATTACAGTCGAGAGAACTTTGGAGCGAGTACCAATTTTCGTACAACGTCTGTTTTCCTTGCTGCAGTTTATTTATTTCTTTTTATTAATGATATTACGCAGTTTCCTCGCATTTTCACTCATTCGCTTTATTATTTGCCCGCTGCGTTTGTTGACTTATTTAATGAGTGCTGAGCGAGAGCGTAACAGAAATCGAGAGAGCATTAAGTAAATGTGACCTTAATTTCCCCTCACACAATCTGTCTGTCTGTCTGTGTGTGTGTGTGCAGTATGCAAATACCCATTTGATATACGGTCTATAGAAATCGAAAGCGGCAGGTGGGGAGAGGAAAAGCAAAGGCGAGGCAACCACATCATTTACATGAACAGGACATTTAAGTAAAATATGGCCGACGCTGTGGGTAGCCGAGAGTGCGATAAGCACGGGTTCAAAGGACGCTGCAAATTACCCGAAAAAGATGCTGCTACCCATCTTTCGCCCCTACCCCTGCCCCTGCCCCATCACCAAAAGCCCTCACAAAAGAAAGAAAGAATGAAAGACGCCTGTGGGAACGGGAGGCAGCACATAAAAATGCTCTAAATGAAGCCATAAATGCGCAATCACGAAATTACAAAGTAGCGGCTGGAGTTGGAGATGGGCTACTGACGGACGCACGGGGGTTGGCTTGGGGCGTGGCACAGCTGAATGTGTTTATTTATGCAGTTGCCACAGCTCTGCTACAAATATTGCCAGCGAAAAAGCAGTCAAATTTAATTGGCTTGCAAATTGCAAGGGAGGAGTTAAGGAAGAGCAGCTGACCCACTCTTCTCCTCCACCTCGCTCACACGCAACTTAAGCAGTGTGTGTGTGTGTGTGTGTCAGAAGTCGCCTTCACGCCGATTCCGTAAAAGTTGGCGTTAAAAACCGCCGCCCATTAAAACTATTTGCCGTAACAAACCAGATGGCAAGTGTCAGCGGGGGATGCGAAGGCGGCGGAGCGTATTCGAATACGGATGCGGCTGCCAAAAGTTGCGCCCAAATATTTTCGGGAAGAGTCACGAAAAACTTGCACGTTAAGATTTGTGTGCGCTGCCCCCAAAAAAAAAAACTTTCGATTGTCTCGACATGATGCTCAGCAAATTCTCAGAGCAAACTATTTGTGCAACTATTAGAAAGTCAATTAGTTGGGCTCGCTCTACGCCGCTTCCTTCCTTCCGCAACATACACATTCTCTCTCTTTCCCTCTCTCTGCCTCTCTCTGTGCTTTATTTTGCTAGAAGTGCAACTTAAATGCCTTAACTGGAAAAATAAAAACAGATTGAGCGGGCGTAGGCGGGGTGGAGCAATTCAGGGCAGCGTCTGGCGCAGGCGATTGAATTAACTTTGCGCCCGAAATTCAATTAAATGCCACACCCATGGCTAACCTGCGCTGGCAACCAAAAATCACGGAGCGTGAAAAGCAAATTTTTTTTTTTTTTTTTTTTGTTGCATTGAAACAGTTTTTAGTGCGCTGTTAACGTGACTCACCTGACGAATCAAAATGTATCACAAAATGTTCCTTAACTTTGCTTGACTATCCATATTAAATAGTATAACAGTATATAAGAAATAATTCAATTTAATCTTTTCAATTGAGAATTTGAATTCATAAGTAAATCAATAAATGTTCGAACTTAACCTCATCTGTTATTAAAATGCGTAAAGAAAATTGTGTCAATTAGGCAAAAGGAAAGCAATAAAATACGGCTGAGCGAACTTTTTGTGGAACACTTGAAACTTTGCAAGGGGAAAAAGGAAATGGAAATGGAAACGGCTGTGTTTGCCAGTCGGAGCCGGAATTGGAGTTGGTTTCGTTGTCGTTGTCGTTGTCGTCTCAGTGCCATAATTATAAATCAACTAGCTGTCGCCCACTCCACCTGCTGCGCCTGGGGCAGCGGCAACAACAACAACAACTAATCCACTCAGGCAAATAGTAGAGAAAGAGAGAGAGAGAGAGAGAGAGAAAAAAGAAAAACAACATTAAGAGACTCCAAAGTTTTGTTGCTGTTGTTATGCGACCCACTTGCAACAAGTAAAACTCGGGTAGCAAATTGTTAAGGGTTGCAGTGGGCGGGGCAGTGAGCGACAGAGCGAGAGAGAGAGAGAGAGAGAGAGAGAGAGAGAGTTCCCCTGTGTATGACATCAGCTATAATTTCCATTACGAGTCGAGCGACCTGCTGAAAATTGTACACCTGGGAGCTTATTAAGTCAAGACCCGCTCGCAACTGGGCAAATGTAATGTAATGCGCAAATGAAATGAAATAAAAATATCCAACTAGGGCGGGCTAGCCAGGGCGGTTAATAATTTTCAAGGACACGCAAATAAAAAGCAAACAGTAAGGAGGAAAAATAAAACTTGTTGATATTTTTCTGAAATAGCCAAAACTTAGAAGTCAAGCAAATATCTGTGAATGAACTTATAGATGATATAGATATAGATGGGCATATTTACAATTCACTTAATAATTATATTTCCGATTTATAAGAAATATACCCAAAGTAGTCAAGCTGGTGCTTTGTGATGGAGAGTGCGCCAAATTATATGGCTGGCACTGTACGGCCAGCGAACATATAGAGACCACATAATGCTCTCGCAGTCCGATAAACGTGATGCGTTTCGTGATGTGTGTGTGCATTGTAAATTACGCACTGGACGACCATTTGCATAAATCACGAGACTGAGATAGAGGTAGCCGGGGGCTTGGGCGGAAGTACTATGTGTAATATGTGAGCGACATTAGTTGAGCAGGCGAACGAGAAGCTGAGCGAGAGCTAGAGCGGCGGGGGAGAGCAGCTTCACATAATCAACCTTTATGTGGCCGATCACACTGTGACAGCAGTGAAAACTGAGAGTGAGGCGTTGCCAGAGTGCGGACAATTTACGTCACTTGGCAACACTGGAATCAAAAGCAATGCGCATGAAATTACATAATATTTTTACATGCCTTTGCCTTGCTCCTTACTGATTGTTGTTGCTGTTGCTATTGTTGTTGTGTTCTTTTTTAATAATGGCGTCAAAGTGCAGAGAGAGATTGTAGTATGAGGGAGCCAAGGGGGTTCACAGTTAGGATTTCAGCGTTCCTTTAGACTCTGATTATTATTTTATGCCACGGACGAGAGTTTCGCGTCACGCGCCTGAAAGTATGCAACATGATATTTGATTTTTATCGCTGCGTGCCTCACTGTTGAAGTGTGTGTGTGTGTGTGTGTATGGGTGTGTGTGTATTATTATTTCAGCTTTGGTAATCTTTTGCCAAGTTTCGTTTCGTTCTTGCTCTAATATTCGTTTTTATTCTGCGTCTGCCGCTGCGCAATTCATCAATAATTCACATTGATTTCATTTTTCTCTTACTTTTGGCTGTTCATTTGTTGCTGTTGTTGTTGTTGTTGTTGTAGCAGCTGCTCCCCGCTGCGTCTTCTCTAACTTAAAACAAATTGTTGTGTGTACTCGTTGCTCGTTGTCTTACCTCAATTCACAAAATGCTCGCATGTAAACAATTGACAGGACTCCCCAGTGCCTGGAATGGCTAAGAGTGCTACTCGGCGAGGTTATTGCCGCAGCAGCTGAAGGTAGCCGTAATGCCAAATGCTGAAATTGATCTTATGAATTTTTAAAGCAGCTGATATCTGTTCGAGTCCAAGTGGCGTTTCACTTGCTGTAGCATAACGGTTTTCCACAGTACAGTACTGCACACGTTTGAAGCATGCAACTGAATTGTTCGCTTCGTTTTTATCTAGCCATCGATTTGAAGTACAGTCGGCTATTGGGCATGCCAACTTGTCAAGTGGCAATTGCAGTGGCGCTGTTCCAATTTAAATGTATTCCCACTTAAAGCCACTGTACACCACGCTGAATATTCGCACATACACACACACACTCAGGCAGCTTTTTTCCACCTTTTACGCACACAATTTGTATGCCTTTTTAAGCCACGAGTGGGTTTTCAGTTGCTGTTGCTGCTGGAAATGATATGACAACACTGAAAAAAAAGAAAAACAAAGTGAAAAAAAGAGAGAGAAAAGCCGTCAGTCATGCGTTGCTATGTTGTTTTATCTCCGCTCTCTCTCTGTCTCTCTCTCTCTCTCCTGCGCGTAACTTTTCCTGCTGGCTCGTTATGTAAAGGTATCCTGTAACCAGTGCGTGCGTGTGTATGTGTGTGTGGATAACACATGCTGATTTGATTGAATTTGATTTAATTTTCCAATTGAAAACACTTGATCTTGTTTCCACTGCTAAAACAACACGAACACGAACACGAATACGAGCGGCAGCTGCCTCTGCTGCCGGCATGCTTATTAGAGTCAAAAACTGTTAGATATTGTAGGGCGTGTAATATGAAGCGACTGCTGAGCTTTATGATTTCACACAGATTCGAAGCAAGAAAGAAGAAGAAATGGAAGAAGAGAAAAAAAAAAACATTGACATTGGAGAGCTCGGAGCCAAGGGGTATGAGTAGAAGAAGCAATGTTCGACTATGTAAATTGGCAAAAAAAAAAAAAAAATAACCATTTTTAAATATTCGAGTTTCAACGGTTAACATAAAGTGAAATTGTAGACTAATTGAACTTTGTAACTTAAGTTCACGAAGGACTTTTAAATAAAATATTAATTTCACAAATATATAAAGAGAGATAAGGGAGAGTGAGATTCTAAATACCAGCCTGGCATTCAGAAAATCTGTGATGGTCCAGGATCATGAGCTGGTTATCTGGCAAGCACACAGCTTTAGCAAACACAACCATACAGTACTTACAATAACACGTGATATAGAAACCTCATTTCTTTAAAATTGTTAACGATTTGCCCTGTTTTGTTACCTTGCAGCAACTCTTTCGCTCACAGAATCCGGGCTTAGCGGCTGCGGCCGCTGCAGCCACATCGGCAGCCAGTGCAGCGGCTGCAGCCGGCGCTGCACCACCTGGCGCACCCAATGGCACAATGCAGGCGTCGCAGCAGCAGCAGCAGCAGCAACAGATGCAAATGGCCGCCGCTTCTCAGCAGTTTTTGGCGCAACAGAATGCAGCATATGCCGCACAGCAAGCGGCCCCGTATGTCATCAATCCCGGACAGGAGGCGACACCGTATCTGGGCATGATTGCCGCGGCTCAAATGCCGCCGTATTACAATGTCGCGCCCTGGGGCATGTATCCGGGCAATCTGATACCGCAGCAGAGCACACAGCCGCGCCGGCCGCTGACACCCTCGCAGCAGGGTGCCGAGAATCAGCCCTATCAGGTGAGCAAAATAGTGGGGCAAAGGGGCAGCAATTGTGTATATAGAGAGAGTGCGTGGGCATTCTGTAAAGTTCTGTGTAAATTGTTTGTACACATTGATCGCAATTAACGTTTAATATACAGCACATACGTTATACATATACATGCCATAACTATATATATACATACATAGATATATGTATATATATACCTGTATAGTTAACCTACGACTTGACCTAAAACGTTGTATTTTTCTCTCTTCTTTTCTTTTTCTACATAAAAAACAAAAAATCAAATGCTTCATAACCTCAAAATACAAATCGAATACCAATATCAAATGCTAACCCTGTACAAATATTTGTATAAAATATCGAAATCGAATATGAAATCGACACTCCAATCGATAACTCCTCAAGGTCATACCGGCCTACTTCGATCAGAGTGGCTCGCTTGTGATGGGACCCCGCACCGGTACACCCATGCGTCTGGTTAGTCCCGCCCCCGTGCTGGCGGTGCCGCCGGGCGCAACACGTGCCGGTCCGCCACCGCCCCAGGGCCCACAACTGTATCCACCACAGCCACAGACGGCTCAACAGAATCTCTACTCACAGCAAAACGGTTCCAGTGTCGGAGGTAAGTGAGACGATCCATGCCAAATGCTCTTGTAATATATATATACATAAATCGTATAGTTGAAGAGTTTACAATATTTGTATATAGCAGCTTATATATACTATTTATTCTATCATATTCTCATACTGGTGCGGCCATTATTCCTAACCATAACCTACATCCATCCTAACAATAAGAAGATAACATTATATATTGATAATATGATATGTATAGCAGTTATAATGCCCCTAGCTAGACTTTGGCTTCAAGTATTTTTATCTTGGGGCACTTTCTACCCTCGTACCACCCACCGTTCCTTCCATTATTATTCATGTTATTGCAATGTAATGCAATTTCTAATTTCAAATTTCGTTTCTATTATTTTGCGTGTCTGCGTGTGCGCTACAGGCGCCTTTGCAGGGCATATTAGTTGAAGAGAGAAAGGAATGCGCATAGATTCACTTTGGAGAATAGACGGGAAGAATGCATGATAATATAGTATGAGCACTATTATAAATACATACAGTAGTTATTATACAACAGCTTAAATAACATCTATGGAAATCAAGTTAATTTAGGGTAAAATCTTAGTTAACTGCATTTACGTATTACCCATGTTACGTCTGCCTTACAGGGCATGACGAAGAGCTTATGCAGTGCAGACCTAATCAGTGAAATGCCAACGGTTGTTGTCAGTAAATTTTCATGCTTTTCATAAATATCTAATGCACAATGAAAGAAGGAAACGAAAAATAATAATAATAACTAAAAGAGAAGAAGAAGAAGAAGCAGGTGAAAAGCAGACTGAAGGCAATTGCATGCAAGCACGCAAAATGTTATTATTGCACAAATGCAACAACAGCAACAACAACAACAACAACAACAACAGCTGCTGCAACATTTTGTGTGTTATCCTTGCCATGCAATACTAATTCTGTCAGCCGTCGGCTGAATCATGCAATATGAGTTTGTGTGCATGTGTGTGCGCGTGTGTGTGTGTGTGTGGCTGTAAAGCACAAATATAAAACGAATTGAAGTTACGTTTATGCGTACATATATCGTGTATAAGCTGATTGAGTTTGTCATCGATAAATCTTTACAGAGCTTACCGAATTGGCAAGTGGATTATGCAGGCTTTGCGTAATGCTCGAGCTGATGTCAATTTCTGAGAGTGTTTCAGATTGAGCAGCAGCTAGTCCTGATTAATATCTACAATGGTTAGCGCAGAAGTATGAAATTAACAAAGTTTTCCATCTAAATGCTGTCAGTCTGTTCGCTCAAGCTGCAACACAGAGCGGACGGACTGCCAGCTTGAGCAAAAATGGCTTTAATAGTAATGCTTTAATGCAGTCGAGCAACGCATAAACCCAACACGCGCACCACTCTGAAGTAAATGCGTGTGTTTGTGTGTGTGCGCTGCGAGTGTTGAGTGTATTTTGTGTTTAGTTTTTGTGCTCAAAAATAACATTTTGCAATATGAGCCAAAGGAATTGGGTCTGTTGGCGACGGGCGTGCTGGATGGGATTGGGTGGTTGGCGTTGGGTGTGGCATGGTAACCAGAAGCTTGGCAACTTGAGTGGGCGAAATGTTGACGCTTGCTGCAAAAAGCTATATTTGTATTTGTCTTGCTGTTGTTGTAGCTACTGCTGCTGCTCCTGCTCCTGCTCCTGCTGCTGCTCCTCCTGCTGTACTGCTGCTGCTGCTGCTGGAAATTGTTGTAAATTTATAGAATTTCAAATTATAATTAATAACGGCAGTCAGGCAATGAAAGTTTACACTTTCGTCGGAGTTTACTTGCATAACGCTTTATACAGGGCCCTACCCCACCCCATCGACGCTTTCGCCCCTTTGCTGTTGACTGTCTGGCGCTCCCTCGACGCCGCCGCAGTTGGCATTTTCCATTATACGAAAGCTGCTACTGCCAATGCTGTGAGGCAATGAAAAGTTGTAATTTTCTAGCTGTAAAATAGTTGTTTCAGCTTTTCACTGCCGGAAAATGTTGCCCGGCATTTTGGCGCCCGCAAATTCAACTGCAATAGTTGTGTTCGCCCAGCTGGAGAGGCGCGTCATTTAAGCGCTTATTGAATTATTCACCCCGAAGCGAACGTCAGGGGAAAATCAATTTGACCACACGGAATCCCACTTAATGGAGCAAAAATACAAAAATCGAGCCATTTGCATTCTCATTTCCCAATACGAATTTCTCGATTCCCAGTTGCTTGCCGCAAACGCATTTTCGACATTTTCCAACCGTCGACTCTCTTAACACGTTAATGGCTCAACTTTCACATTATTTCGTTAATTAATTTCCCTTCATACAGGACGTCGTTTAATGAGGATTTTTCGTCAGTTTTTCCACGAAATGTTCTTTTTCCACGCATTTCGCTGACGCATCTCCCATGACGTATGGCCACCAATTTCATATAATTTGCATGCGGCATACCCTGTAATATATGAGCACTGTGAAGTGGATATTAAAGTTCAGATCGATAAGCAAAGGTCATGGACATGACGTGAAATATATGTAAACATGGTTAAATATTGCCGGAAAGTAGGAGGAGATATTCAATTAAACATCATTGGATAGACAGAGCTCATTCCTATTGAATATTTTGCATGAATACCCTGCATATTGTCTATTGCATTTGCACATTCTCCACCCTCACTTAATGCTAGCTATTCTAATGGTATAATTATGCTCCGAGTCACATTCACTTTAACTAATGCTTGTGTCTAATCAATCGTGTTTCGAGCGTGTCGCTTACATAACAGCGTTACGCATACGCCATGTTGTGCACGTCATTGGGAATTTCATTAAGAGCAAAGTGCAGCAGTTGCCTAGTGCTATCTCTCTCTCTCGCGCTCTATGGGTATGTGAGTCGCTCTTTGTCACTCACCTTCGCACACACAGTAGTAGGTGGCTCCCCTTTTGCGGCAAGTGTCAAACAAGTTGCTGCTGCTGCTGCTGCTGTTGCTGCTGCATGTGGCACAAAATCATTCACAAGCTGCCATTGCTGCTTCTGCCAGCTTCATGCCGCAAACCTCCTTGCTCGACGCAATCGCAGCAGCTGCTGCAGCTCGTCTGTGGCCCAGCAGCAATTGACATTTTACAAAATAAACGAATTCATTTGCACAAAAGCCAGCAGCAGGCGGTTGTAGTGAACAACAAGGATAACAGCAGCAGCAGCAGCAGCAATAGCAGCAACAGCAACAACAGCAACAAAACGAGCATTGTGGTAGACAGAGCGCGAGCATAGTGGGAAAAGGACAGCAATAGCAGCTAGAGTAAATGCAAAATGGTTTTGGCATTGGCTTTGCCTTTTCTATTGTTGTTGTTGTTGTTGTTGCTGGCTTTCACTTTCCCCCAAATGCAATCACATGTTGCCAACATGTGAAAGGTGTACATAATAATTTGTGGGCCTGGCTAGGATGCAAGCCAAAGGCATAGCCAAATCGAAAGGAAGCCTTACGTCTGATCTGCTCTGTGGTGCCGGGTCGCTTGCCTCTCCTTCGCAATATTGCAAAGCACATCCAAATGCTTTGGCGGTTGCAAAGTCAGGTCTGTGTGCGTTACACACAGACACAGACACACATAAGCCCCCTTCACTCATGCTGTCTGTAAGTATGTGTGTGTGCACGCATTAACGTTTGTAATTGCAGCTTGTCTGCGCACAGAGCCGCAGGGTGGCTAGGCGCAGCGCATGCCGGGTGGGTGGGTGGTGCGGAGAGATGTGCAGCCACTTAAAACAATATAATCTCCATTAAAAAGCTTTTTGACATTGCACGCAGGCCCAAAGGAGTCCGGACTCGAGGGAGCTACGAGTACGGGTACGGGGGAGGCTGTGCAGCGGGCTGACACTGTGACTGCTGTGGCAGTGCTTGGCTGGGCTCGTGACTTGGCAGTGAGGCTTACAATTGTTGTCTTGGCGCATCGATGGCAGCACTACAGTAATGAGTGGGCGGGGGGTAAGCGAGCCTGCCATTTGGCAGGAGAGGGGAGTGCTGCGGGATGTGCCAAACAATTGAGAAGCAACTTGCCTTAGTGCTAATTGCAATTGAGATATGTGTGTGAATATGTGTGTATAGGTGTGTGTGTGTGAGTGTGCTAGTGGTTGTGCACAGCACTCGAGAGTCTCGAGTCGAGACACAATTCGCAATCAGCAGACTTTGGTTTGAATTGAATTGGACTGCATTGAATGGGCGAGCCCAAACCATGTCAAGAAGAGCGTAATGACAAATGCACTTAATTGATTTTTGACTGATTGTCAGGCGCCACCGGGGGTGGGGGCTGGTGGGTACATGCAATAAGGGGCGAGGGCGTCATTTCAAAGTGGGCATGTCTCGCACGTGTCACATGCTTAACCTAGTTGCGTTTAGCTAACGATACCGCATGCAAATGAAAAGCATTCAAATGAAATCATAAATACGTTTATGTTAATTAAGTGATGCAGAAGATGGATGTAGCAATGTATGTAGTATTCCAGATATAGCTGCGATATGAGAACAACAGCAGAGCTCTACTTTCTGAGAGATTTTCATATAATTAATAAAGCAGACGACAAGGCATGCCATCCAATAACTATATACTATACTATGTATGTGCATTCATATAAACGAAGACTTCATACACTCCCACTCATGCATGCATCAAGTACACTCTTCTATCCATTAAGCAGCCCGCTAAAGATGCATCTTAAAGATACAAAGACATCGCACGAGTAGCACTTAAATTGCTTTCTTCAGTTACAGCTCCATGTGATGGGGCAGCTCAGTTTGTTGAAGGCTTGCTTTTTATGCCAGCTTTTCCAACACTAATTACATTTTTGTGCAAAGCGCTCTCAACACTGTTTATTTGATAGCCCACTTAACGACTTTTACAAACTTGCCCAGCTCTTTAGTCGTCGTTCTGGCTTGCAATAGTTTCCGGGCATTTAAATAACTCGAAACATTTTATTTAATGCGTTTTCTTTTTTACTGCCTACCTGTCTGCCTGTCTGTCTGTGTGTGTGTGTGTAGATGTGCATAATGCGCACGTGTGTGCATTTATAATTCATAAAATGATTACATTAGGCTGAGCAACGGGCAACGGAGAGTGGTGGGGCCTTGTCTATGAGGTGGCATCTGCTGCTCTGCTCTTATGTGGAACGTGTGCATAAACCACAAAATGTCGCCTGCTATAAAGCGGGGCGTCTTTTTAATGCCCCACACTTACGCAGACACAAGCAAGTATGTTTATGTGTGTGTGTGTGTGAGTGTGTGCACATGTGAGAGATGCTGCAGTTTCATTTGGCAAAGTGTCCTTGCTGCCACACGCTCACCAGCGACAGGCAGAGAGTGTGAGAGGGAGAGAGAGAGAGGGAGGCAAGCAGACGCAGGCAGACGCAGGCAGAGGACGGAACTCGCAACGTTAGATGAATGGCCAGGGTGTGGAGTAAAGTGGAATGCCTGTAAAAGATAGGTAGCTCCCGCTCTTAATTATTACGACTGTTTTCGACTACCGATACTTGGATGTCTCCCTCTCTCTCTCTCTCTCCTCTGTCGCTCTCCCACGATCTCTGGCGCACACAAATTGCATGAATAATTCTCTTTTAAATTGTCGAAACTACCACGCGACATATTAAACACTGGGCAGGGGGGAAATGTCATGGGGGGTGGGGGATGCTGCAACACCAAACAAAATAAACAAACTGGCAGACATCCAAAGCAGAAGAGTAGTACCGTGGCCCAGTCCCCAATCCTGTCCAGTGCACAGACTGCTGCAGGCCGCCCACTCGACGACACTTTCATTGACGCAAATTGTTTGTACTACATAATCCATTCCATTCCAGCCCGCCCTATAGCCTGCACCCATCTGCGACACCCTCCCCGCCCAATCGCCCCCGGACGTGTTCATTGCCTGCATTTGAAATGGAATTTAGCAGTCGCGACGCTGAAGTGCGCCAAATTAGTTGCAATTTAAATGCAAAAATTAAAAGTTTTTATCCAGACGCGTCGACGAGCACGCGAAAATTGTTGTTGTCATTTATTAAGCATTGTATTTTGCAACACTGGCTGCTGGCAGTACCAGTAAAATCTACATTTTCCTGCATGTTTGCAATTAAGTGTCGCATTGAGATGTAGAGCAGCGAGGACTACAAATAGAGGAAAGCTGTTTGACGTTGTGCAATACTGTTTTCACACAAAATTAATTGTGCAACACATTTAAATGAATTGGCTAATTTAGCTGATCGTTCTGCAACACTCACTACAATCATAATCGAATTTCTAAAACAATCTAAACTTCTTCCATCAAAACTCTTAAACTTTGGCAATTTTCACGCCATTTCGGATAAAATCTTTGCGATTCTCTGGCGTAGCGTCGAGATAGCGAAACTTAACTAACTAAATATATGGCACAGTGGCACACACATGTGGCATGTGGGCCACGCCCCTCATTAGGAGAAGGCAATCGCTCGGTGTTTATGGCACAGTTGAGGACGAAATTTATAAAGGAATTTATGCAATTAATTTGCGCAGTAGTCGCAGTAGGCCGCCCGCAGCCTCCCCTCCGCATGGGCGGGGGTCTGACGTGTTGCAAGGCTTGCCGCAAGCATTCTGGTGGTGGTGGGGGGAGGCCGGATGCAACAGCCGGCAGCAGGCAATGAATTCATTAGGGCGTAAAGTTGTCGCTTGTGAATGGCATTGCATTCTCGCAGGCGCAAAACTTTCACTCTTCCTTTTGTTTGTTTTTGCTTTTGCTTTTTTTTAGCTGCTTAAAACATGTCCTTTCAGGCAGTAAATTCTGCCCTGCTCGCTCTGCTCTGCTCCTCTGTGCAAATCAATGCCAGTGACATATTACAGCATCCATCAAGTTGGCAGCGACCCACCTCTCGCACTCCCTCTTCCTCTTCCCTTCCTCTATCTCTGTCGCTGCTGTTTTTATTTGTGCTTACAGCATTGCCCCCATTGGGTGTCCTTAGATGTCTTCCCACACACACTCACTCCTTCTATATATGTACATCCATTCCTTTACATATCCCAAGGGCTTTGCAGTGTGACTCTTGGAACGCATATGTGCTTCCTTAATGGGTGACATTACGAGTCCTACACTCACTGGCTGTCAGTTAAATGTGTAAGTGGGCAGCCTGCTGCTGTTCTCTCTCTCTCTCTCTCTCTCTCTCTCTCTCTCTCTCTCGCTCTCTCTCGCTCTCGCTTTCTCATTTGCCAACTCAGCCGCATCAAACTAAAACTAACGGTGCGCCACAGCTGCGCCTTAAAAGTAGGCAATTAAGTTTACGAGCGTCCTACTCTAGGCCTTTAACTCAGCGCTGTAACTCGATTAATTACAACATAGCGGATAGCCTCTCTCTCTCGCTCTCTCTCTCTCTCTCTCTCTCTCTCTCTCTCTCTCTCACTGTCACTTTCTTCAGCTCTCAACTAGCAAATTGTGACTTGAAATGGACGCTGAATGTAGCTAACCTGCTGGGAACATATGCCCCAGCTAACTGGCATGCATTACAGCTATTTTTATTGGTTAGTTAGCATGGGAATATTAGAGTCTGATTGTAGTTCACTCTCTTCCACAATGCTGTACTATATGTAGACATCATAACTAATTGATAGTATGACAACTTAACTTGATTCATTATATATATATATATATATATATTATCAAAATATTAATTTAATGCCTAATGATATATTTTAAATATTATTTATATATTTTTCACATTTTAACCAACAACATAAATAATCTTAAATATATGTATAATATATATTGAATATATAATATATTTATTATATAAATACCATTATATTCTACCTAATCTTAAGCTTAGTACTTTATATAATCATCTAACTTATTTATATGTCACTTTCTTTAGCTGTCTCTATCGACTTTTCACTTTCACTGTCACTTTCTTTAGCTGTCTCTCTCGGCTCTCCAAGTAATAATCAAATCTCATTTTCTTCATCTTCTTCATAGGGCTTGCACTCAACACGAACTCGTTGACCGGTCGTCGCGACTCGTTCGATCGCACAACATCTGCTTTCAGTCCCTCGGCCATGGACTACACCACGAGCAGCGTGGCCGCCGCCAATGCGGTGAACAGCAGCGTGGCTCAAGCGGCTGCAGCTGCTGCGGCTGCTGCGCGGGCCAAGTGGCCCGGCGCCATGTCGAATAGCAGCGCATACGGAGCGCTGGGCGCAGCGGGAGTCAATGCCTCGGCCAGTCCGTTGGGCGCACCGTTGACACCGCCGCCGACTGGGCAGTCCTGCCTGATGGGCGGCAATCGGGCGCCTGGCGCCGAGTCGCGCCAACGGCAGCAGCTGGCGGTCGGTCTGCCGGCCACAGCGGCAGCGGCCCAGGCGGCAGTTGCGGCCGCAGCGAACAATATGTTTGGGTCGAACAGTTCGCTCTTCTCGAATCACTTGGCGCTGCCGGGCACAACGCCCGCCGCCGTGGCCGCTGCCGTGGCGAACTCGAGGCAGGTGGCCGCCGCCGCTGCGGTGGCTGCTGCTGCTGCCGGAGCCACCGGCGCACCACAGCCGGGCAGGTCGCGCCTGCTGGAGGATTTCAGGAATCAGCGGTATCCGAACTTGCAGTTGCGCGATCTGAGCAACCACATTGTGGAGTTCTCACAAGATCAGCATGGCTCACGCTTCATCCAGCAGAAACTGGAACGGGCCACAGCCGCCGAGAAGCAAATGGTCTTCAATGAAATTCTGGGCGCCGCCTACAGCCTGATGACAGACGTGTTTGGCAACTATGTAATTCAGAAGTTCTTTGAGTTTGGTACTCCAGAGCAGAAGAACACGCTTGGCATGCAGGTCAAAGGTCACGTGCTGCAGTTGGCGCTCCAGATGTACGGCTGTCGCGTGATCCAGAAGGCGCTGGAGAGCATTTCTCCTGAGCAACAGCAAGAGATCGTTCACGAACTGGACGGACATGTCCTCAAGTGCGTCAAAGATCAGAATGGCAACCATGTCGTGCAGAAATGCATCGAATGCGTCGATCCCGCTGCACTGCAGTTTGTCATCAATGCGTTCAAGGGCCAGGTCTATTCGCTGAGCACACATCCCTATGGCTGCCGCGTCATTCAGCGCATCCTCGAGCACTGCACACCCGAGCAGACCACGCCCATTTTGGATGAATTGCACGAGCATACAGAGAACCTGATCCAAGACCAATATGGCAACTATGTCATTCAACACGTTCTAGGTAAGTCGGGCTGCTCCTTCTGTTTGAAATCGAATCAGCCCTAAGGCAGGGGTAAATCAAGATATCCAGTCTTTTTTCTTTTTATTACGAAAATTGGGCTGTGAGCACGCCCTATCCGGCGTGTAGCGTTTCAGCGTAACGTCCTTCACGTTAATACATTTTTGTTGTAATTATTTCAGAGCATGGCAAGCAGGAGGACAAATCGATACTGATTAACAGCGTGCGTGGCAAGGTGCTGGTGCTGTCGCAACACAAGTTTGCCTCGAACGTGGTGGAGAAGTGTGTGACACATGCCACACGCAGCGAGCGCACGGGCCTGATCGATGAGGTGTGCACATTCAATGACAAGTAAGTGGCCCAATATTATGGGCATGTATGTGAATGCGCATAATGTGTTAATAAATGAGCGACATCATACTAATGGCGCGTGATTCTCCTGCAGCGCCTTGCACGTCATGATGAAGGACCAGTATGCCAACTATGTGGTGCAGAAGATGATTGACGTGTCGGAGCCGACGCAGCTGAAGAAGCTGATGACCAAGATACGACCCCACATGACCGCCTTGCGCAAGTACACCTACGGCAAGCACATCAACGCCAAGCTAGAGAAGTACTACATGAAGATAACGAATCCCATAGCCGCTGCCACGGCCAGCGTCGGTGCTACCAGCACTGCCAGCGCATCAGCAACCACAACAGTTGCCGCCACCAGCAGCAGCAGCAGCAGCAGCAGCAGCTGCACCACCACCACCAACAGCAGCAACAGCAACAGCAGCAGCAACAGCAGTGCAACCGGTACCAACGGGGCCACGCCCTCCTCAACAACGATTGCGGCCGGCAGTGCAGTGACCACAACCACCAACAGCATCGGATCGCCGAGCATCTGTGCCGTGCAGGAGAATGGGAGCATCTCGATGGCCGAGCCGACATCGCCAGCCACCTCAGAGTCGTCCGGCACTGTGGGAGTGAGCTCCGCCCTTGGTCCCATTGGACCGCCCACAACAGCCAACGGAGTGTTGTAAAGTGACGAAATGCAGCGCGTTAACGAATTTTAGTTTTTAGTCTCTGGATGAAGAAGAAGATGAAAAAGCAACGGGGAGTACGACAAGAATAGCATTAAAAGCAAAGCAAAGCGAATGCATACTATAAATATTACAAACAAAAATATAAATATATATATATATACACACGTAAAATACTAATTAATATACAAAGAAATGTAATGTAATTTATTTATAAACAAAACGCAGAAGAACAAAGCTGCAGAAAGATTAAAAAAAAAAAAAAACAACACAAAGATTCTCAGCCCACGATCGGGTTAAAGAGAGATCGTCTCCCGAGAGCGGAGCAATCGATAATTTGTATATTCAACTGTAACAAAAACCAACAACTAGATATGATCGTTAAACGCTTTTGTAAAGTGCGTAATACTAACACATACACTGAAAGAAAAAGAACGCGATGAGTTGAATAGCTGCAAATAATTTGTGCGTTCAATTTTAATTGATTCATTTGTTGCATCCCAGAAAAATTGCGAGAAATTATTTTTAAAATGCTGTCGAAAGAAAAACCTCGAGCTCGAGCACAGAAAATAAAAAAAAAAAAGAAAAGCATGTCTGCGTACATTTTCGTTGTAACAATTTTGTATAAAAGTGAGAAAAAGCTAAAAAAAAAAAAAAATACCTAAAAAATAATTTGTAAATGTTTAAGCAAAGGAATCGACTGTAAATTTGAATTATTTAAACAAAAGCGCGTGACATTTAGTTGCGAAACAGAGCAGATCAAAGTAATGAAGAAAAGAACGAATTCAAGAAAGCAAACATAAGAACACGATTATTAGCATAGAATTTAACTGCAACCATTTCAAATAATTATATGAACATATATAAACATATAAATATTATCAAGTACGCAATTCAATATAACGAACAACTTAAATGTAGAATGTAGGCTAAAGAGCAAGCAAATTCAGTATGTGTAAAGAACTTCATCATATAAAGAAAAGAAGCCAGCAGCACACACACACACAGTCTCACACGTACACCCATACACCCATTCACAGACACACACACACGCACACACAGTCAAAACAATCGAGAACTCTTTAGCGTTGCGTTTTGCAACAATTTCACGTCGCTTTTGCGCTATGTAAAATTTTGTACAAAAAAAAAAAAAAAAAAACAAACAAAAACAAACAAAAACCAACAACAACCACAAAAACCATGTAAAACAATGTAATAATTATTAAATATATATTTTTTGTCAGTTTGTTGTTCACATGTAAAATTCAAAACTGTTTTGTAAAATTCTCATTAATTTAATTCGATCACTTGTTTGTAAATTACTTGTAAACAAAAACAAAATAATGTTAAAGAAAGCCCCTCAAACACACACACACACACAAGACTCACACACACATATACATAAAGAAAACACATTCACTTGAAGCGTGTGAATCCCCCACTATATACCAGCTATACATGCATATACATATATACATACATACTATACATACTACACACACACATTTATATATATATATATTTACATTCATATTTGTATTTTGTAAATTGTTTTGATTTTAAGCGCCCCACACACACACACAAACTCTCACATAAATTTGTATTTATATATATATATATAGAAACGCGCTTATTTGGGCCGTCGAAACGAACTCTTTTGTTTAGCTGCTAAGATTTAACTGATTACTGATTTATGACTTCACTTTTAAGTTTCTTTTAGTTATGATTTTTCAAAGATATACATATATACATATATATTTACTTTTTAACGAGCAACTTACTCACAACCACGAATGTAAACCCAATTGATTAAAAGCATAAATACAATTAAATATTTCCAGACCACTTGTAAGTCATTGTTTAGTTCGCCCACCTTTTATAATGCATACAAAGAATAATCTTAGACATTGTATATGAAACATTTTTAATTCGCGCGACAAGCTATCGCGGCTCGTACGCGTCAAGCAGTGCAAATGCATGCAGTGGAAAAAATGATGCACTGCTTGCGCGTTGTCTGGCTTACAGTTGAACAACCACTGGACGCGGCAGCTGTGGACGCTCGCTTTTAAATTGTGTATTCAATTTGATTTTAAATATAAACAAATACTGCGCGGCTTGAATTGCAAACATGTTAAGACACACCCAGACACACTACATGTAAATTGAGATTGTTTATTGTATGTACACACACACACACATTGTAAAAAGTCAGAAGCTTTGTACATTTTGATAAAAACCTTTAGCATATTTCTCGACGCCTTAAGCTAAGGTAAACGAAACAAAAGAAAAATCGAATTTAAATTCCTAATTTATGCAAAACTTTTTCATTTTAATATGTACATTTTTGTCGGGTTTTCTCTGCGGGCAAACACAAAATTCAGTGTGTTTATTTTTAAACACACGTAATGTATATATAACACATATTTATCGAGCATATGTAGTTTTTGTGTAAATTTCAGACTAAATCCTCACACATACATCTAACAGCCCCTGGCGCATTTCAAGCGTTGGCGCAACAATAATTTTGGTATTAAATTTGTGTATTTTATGAATATATTCATATATATTTTATTAATTTGTTAGTTATTAACTTATTAACTGCCTGTCGACAGAGCGCAATGCACTGATTAATTTTAATTTACCTAATCAAGCAAACACTGTATTTAGATTCTCAAGCTCAGCATAGAACACATATACAGCCTCATACGCCCACATACACACATACATGCTGCAAAGCTGTCGTAGTTAGCCTAAGGCAAGATCTTATACATAACGAACACAATATACAGATATACAGATATGATATATATTTCTATGTACTACACTCGATTATGACTAGCAGCAAAGATTTTAAATACCTATATATGATATATGACATATTTGTACATGTATTTGTATATGTAAAGTAGGAAACTAAATGAACCAGCAGCACAGTGAAATTTGAGAAGCAACTAGCGCTATATACATAATTATGTGCATATATATATGCATATGCATATACATATGTATATGTATATATTCATATTGCTAGTTTTAACAGTAAACATATTTTGCACGCATATTAAACGCTCGATTGAACCGACAAAGAGAAATCCATTTAAATTTGAGAACAAGTCAACAATTGTAACTTAACGTATATAAAAATCAATGGATATAAAGAACAACTTATGACATAAGCAAATCGTAGTTTAAATACAAAATTAAAAATGAAATTGATTTTCATTGAGTTGGTTTTTATAAAAACATTTTGACAACTCAAACGAAATTAAAAACAATTTCGCAGCTGCCAACAAAGCAGGCAAAAAATTAGAAAAAAAAGAAAACTCTTTCAAAGTGTACATTTTAGTTTGCAACAAGTGCATAAACTAAGGAATGAGCGATGAGTAATAAAATAACAACCATATTTCAACTAATTGCTAATATATATATATAAATATATTCACACAAACGAGCAGCAGAAATTTGTAAAATTTTTCGACAGCAAAAGATTGTAAACTAAACTTAAGGTATACACTGAGAGAAATATAAAACCATTTGTAATTTGTTGTAAAAAGCATAGTACGATAGCAAGAATGTAAGCATGGATGAACGATATAAAGTTGGCGTCAAGTAAAAACTATAAAATATATATATATAAATATACATTATACATACACGTAAATACTTATAAAGCATAAATAATTATATTTTGTAGCTACACACACAATCACACACACACACACACACACTCCGATGAACCTTTAGTTTTGTAAACAGCGCGCAATCGGCACAAGTTACGTACGAGTCTACATATATATCTATAAAGAAAGCATAAAAAAGAAAAATCGTGAATAGCATTCGAGCTTTCGAGCCTTTAATTTAATTATGCATTAAAATTGAAAACGAAAAGAAAAACACACACACACGCAACTCTTATGTTTATTCTATAAATTATATTTAATCCTAATTTCATTGTGAGTAAAATAAAAAACAAAAAAACACCGTTTATTATGAAACAAAAATACAACAATTGAAACGTTTTATTATCACAATTTTTACTGTTCAGTTTATCATGGTTTTTATTCCCATTCAAGTTCCAACCAATTGGCTTCAATAGAAGGCTGCGATGATAACAAAATGATCTGAAATCAAAAAATGAAAATTCATATTAATATGGCATAAAGTTAATAGATAGCATACTATATATAGTATATATACCATGCATATACATCTCTATAAATATATATAACTAACCTATAACCATTCCAACAAAACCAGTAAAAGAAAGCCGAGAGATAGCGCAAAGCTTGAGGCATTTTATACGGCGCATTTTTTATATAAACAGGCTAGCTGTCTATGATATAAATCTATATAACATATGTATATATACATATATATATATATAATTATATATACCCAAGAATGATCAACTTTTATATGAGCCAGTAAGTAAACGGACATATTTTTTTATAAGCCTTGGCAAGCTGCTCTTTTTCCAGGCCGAACATTTTAACGAAATTAACAATTACCAAAATTCACAAATATAATACATTTAAAATTAATAACTAAAACAAAACGAAAACGAAAAAGAAAACGAAATTAAAACCAAATGCAAAAATTAATAAGAAAGCAACAAATAATAATCCCAAAAGAAACCCAATTCAAATAGTAGATCTTTCCATTGTAGAATTGAATTGTATGTAAAACTATATAGATTTTTACTTGAAAATTGTTCTCGATGGGCAAATCTCGATAGGCATGTGCTATGTTACAATAACATTACAACAACAAACAACAACAACAACAAAAACAACAGCAAACTTGTAGAAAAACAACAACAATGTTAATGATGATCCCTCACATAATACTGTATATACAGAATACTCGTATAAGGCATATGTTTGCGATTTGGTAGTAAGTGAAAGGGACGATTGCACATTTAGAAAATATATTTCGAATTTTACAAAACAACAAACAAATGATATATATTATATGAATCTATTAGATTTTGATCTTGTATCGGGCTAAGATCTTATAGATCTGGGCCCAGTTGTAAAGCAACAATTAAAACAAAAAATTAAAAAAAAAAAGTATAAATATAAATCGATTTGTTTTTTCTTAGCTATTTGTTGTTAAATTTATTATTTTATTTTTCATTTTTTTAATAATGTATAGCCTTTGATAGCTAGTGATTAGTCCTAACACTTACTCCAAATGCAGATTTGGAGCACTTTCGACCAATGCTAAAACTGTACTACTTAAGATTGGTTATTGTTTTAGTTTCCTTTTGAATGCCCCCGTTAATGCCACAACAGCACCCAAGAAACCAACTCGGATTCAATTAAATGAAATGGAAAACATGAAACCTAATTAGCTACTCGTATGTACATAGGTGTACGAACATAACTAAAGATGAACAATTGTAAAACTAAATACTTCTACATATTTAATAAAAAGAAACATTAAAAAATAAAAATAAAAGAGTTCTTATTATAAAATAGCTAACGATAAGAGCGCACTATAGCAAAAGCTATGACAAAATTGTTTATAAAAGAACTTTGATCGTGGCACTCCCAATTGAGTAATACAACAACAAACCAAGGCATGGGAAATTTATTAGTAGCTATTTTTTTTCGAGATAATTATTATTTTATTAATTATTATTATTTTTTTTTTTTTTTTTGAGTAATAATGTTTATTACTGAATGTATTGAATGTTTTATGATTAATCCAATTGAATTCAGGCTTAAGGCGCATGCCATGGCAAGCCGTTCGACATAAGAGACATCTCGACTCACTCGATCAAATCTGCGAATAATCAATATCATATACATATGTAGTAAAGTTATGACAGTTTTCCATTTTAACAAGGATATTTTTGCAAGGATAGTGTTTAATACTTTGTCCGTAGCTATAACGCGTATTTTACAATTAAATAAAAAGCAACCTTAAAGCTAGAGTCCTTATACTAGGTAGACTAATTCACGTAGAACTGGTCGACAGGAACGTTCTTAAGCAGCTGGTTGGCCAACTTTCCGAATTCGTTGGCCAACTTCTTTTGGAGCTGCGCCTGCATGGCCTCCAGCACAATTTGCGAGTTGTCGCGCAGGAAGAGATTGGTGGCCTCCACTGAGGAGAGGGAAGAATACAGTCAATTAAGAGGTAGAGATAAGGACTGTGACTGTACTTACATAAGATGCGATTGTTGTTGAAGGCGCGCGAGATGCTCATATTGACCTTGTCCACATCCAAGACCAGACTCAGCGAATCCACATGCAAGTACTTACCGCGCAAGGACGTCTTGCCGGTCAGTTCGGCATTGACGCCATCAAATGTGGCATGGAATTCGCCACCGCCGGAGGCGGGTATGATCAGCAGCACTCCAGAGCTGGTGTACTTCGCCTCGATCTTCAGCTTGGGCATGAAAATCTTCGCCTTGAACGGCTCGCCGCCGTTCTCGCCAAGCTTCAGCGACTTGACCTGATAGTTGCTGGCCCCGAAGGCTTCCATGTTCTTGAGCGTAATCTTATAGCCTTGCGGTCCCTCGGTCAGCTGCAGTGCCAGCGAATCCATCTTGAAAGGCTCCACTGAAGGCAGCTAAATGAATAAAGATGGAGTTGAAAATGGAGTCTAGTTTGGGCAACTCGATGGCGAATCAAGTTAGACAATTTCCGCGATTGAGTGGCTGCTGCCACATGCCACGCGACGCGCAACGCGCGACGTGCGACGGGTTGCGCAAGAGCCGCATTTGGCATTTGCCATTTGGTTTGGGTGTTATGCAAGCGCAACCCGTTTGGCAATGCAAATAGGCATGAAAGGGTTACCCACCTCGATCTCTGGTATGCCGCTGGCCAGATAGGGTCGCAGGTGCTCCAGTCCAGCGCTGATACAGTCGACGAGCTTGGGATCGTCGCGACGGCATTGTTTGATGTACGCGGCTATTGGGCAAACAAGCAGAAGAACCAGAAAAATATTTATCACTTAGTCGATCAAACAAGAGCATCAGTTTTGCTTTCAATTCCTGTAAAGTTCAACGACTCGAACTAAAGTCGGTCAACAAATATTCAAGAGCAAGCGCGATCTCTGGCAAGGTCGCCCGCAACAAGGTCACGCAAATGCAACGCTCAAGAACCTGTCTGAAATCACATGGAGTGCGCATTATGGCCTACGATTCTGTTGCATGGCCGTCACAGATCGAAGCTATATAATTAAGTAAGCCTTACATATACATATTTGTATATACATATAAATACATCCATATATATTTATATGACGATCATTAGCGCCGCTACTGCAGCTCAACGCTGAATTCAAGTTGAAGGCTGTTCAACGGAAGCTCGAATGGAGTGTAGTCTTTAGTTGCGCTCATTAACTATGGATTTGGTTCATAGTCTGCATTTTCAATGCGTCTCTTATGGATGCGGAAGTTTCGGCTTTGTCTATGCTTTGGTCTTTTCTGTTTCAATCAGCTTTGTACCCATGCCCGAGTTAGAGATCTGCTTTAATTTAATAAACTGTGTCAGCTACTGCAAAATATGCATATCGTGTCTTTAATAGATAACACATCCATTGACATTAATAATGATTGAAATATCTATAATGAATTATAACCGTTAATTGCGAAGTCGCAATCTCAAGTACAGTAAGCGCAGCTACAGCCGAGTCATCAATTAAATTTACTAATTAACTGTTGCTTACTTCACTTTATAGACGCTAAGTAAGGCTGTCAGTGTGGGCAAATAGTCGTATTACATTGCCGTACTCCTTGGGGGCTTTTATATGGATTTTGCAATCAAATGAATTACCAAGCAAATAGAAAAGTTGCAAATATATATAAATATATGTATCCATCAATTAACTCGAAGCGGGAACTGCACAGTCATTCGGCTAACCCTTGCTCCACTAGAAGTCAAAGTTCTGCTAATTAAAGATAAATACTAAATAAATATTCACACTTTTATCTGAGCATGTTTTCAATTGAGAAATTTTATATGACGTTTGCAGTTCATAAGTTGTTCAGGCAATTATTGAGATAGACGATCGATCGCAGATTCAATGCCATTTAAGGCGAAATTTCCTTCACACATCCTTAACAAACGACCTACTTCATAGAAGACCTCACACACTTTGATTAAGATGGAACTTACGCGTCTCGGCCTGTGAGAAAGCGATCAACTGAGCAACAGCTGCTACTATGCACAAGTATCTCAGCATATTTATGTGTTTGTTATTCAGTCGAAGATAGATACGATTAGCACACGACACCACTCAGCGCTACACACTCGAACTATATCAATAACTATGAATCTCGACTCGTGGTGGACGTCCAACAACGCGCAGCTGCGAACGATAACTGTGAGCGTTGCCAAAGTTGCGGCTGGATTTTAAAGCCCCCTTCGAAGAGCAGGCGACTGAACGCAAAGCCCAGCTTCGAGCCGAGCTCACAGTGAACGCCGACGTCGCCGTCGACGCCAACTCAATGACTGACTGACTGACTGAGTGACTGACTGACTGACTGAATGACTAGGTGAGTTGCCGACTGCTGGGTGCTGTTTAGTAAATGTGTCTAAAGGTCTCTTTTCCGCCTCACTCTTCAGCTCAAATCTTCGCCCCAGTGTCTGCCCGAAATATTGCTATTGTACTCAGCGTAAATGGACACAGTGGGGTATATTGGCTGTTAGCGTCGAAAGATATTAGTCATCCATGAATAACATCTTCAAAAAGTCAGCAGTTTAAGCAGAATAAATTGTTGGTATTTGCTACACAATATTCAGTTTGGCTAAAGGGTATCTTCCGATCGTGTAGCTAGGCTGGATTCTATTTACCTTGCTTGCTTATTTACCAAGTGCCACAAAGAGCAATAAAGATTTTCAGTTTTCGCAATGGGCTGTAAATTTTTGCTTAGCTCGTTTAGAATAAAACATTAATTTTTTTTTGTAGTATTAATTTTTGAAATGTGCTCAAATGCACATCATTATGAACCTAAGAATATTATTCGTTGCATATGTACGTACACCAGAGAGCGAATCGGTGCCCAGTCACGGCTCAACAAGCTTTCAGCAATTGACGAACTGCACAGCAGAACAGCCTTCCTCTTAAGCAACTGACCTCTGCACAACTAGCCACAATATCGAATTGATATCTATAATTTGTAAACTCTCGACATCTTTCCACCATTTCTGTGCCAAAGTCGTACATACAAGACTTTTGAATACAATAGAAGCTCAGATTCAATAACACATTTAAGTACCATTAATTCTCTATATATTATACAATAATTGGCGCTCGCCATATGCAGATAAAAATAGTTGATTCTCTGACGTCAAAACTAGTTCTGTTCTATATCAAATCTATATTATATAGTTTATAAGTTTATGGAGCTAGTAAGACTGTAGCGAAACTTGCTTTTATAACCTTTTCGGAGCTGTTCCAGTTGAGATCCCGTTCGCATCGACTCTCGAGCAGGCTAACTTTGCACTCTCTGATCTTTGACTGTCGCTGATCTTAAACTGTTTACAATGGCCCTGACAAGTACAGATCGGGGAAGTGCCAATGCATGCCCATACAAAGGCCCCAGTCGATTCTAGCACATAATAAATGCGAGCTTGTTTACGAGTGCCCGTGCCGTACAATACGCATACCAATATGGCTTATGACAATACTGGGAAATACTTAAAGAGGAGCCAGAGCAAATAGATAAATAGTAAATGGTACAGGAAAACGTTTCTCACACCATTGTCTCAGGTACTCGCATTGTTATTTAAATAATTAGACGGCTTTGTTCTGCTGCCTGCCATCCAATGGGTTCGGCACATCAGAGGACTACATATGTGTACATAAGTATTCCCATTAGCACTCCCAGAATAATGTTTCCAAGAAATCACCAAAAGTATCTACTTAATTATAACAAGAATAGAGCGTAAACATTAGGCGAGAGCTGCGGGCACATTATATGAATTTTTAGAACTTTTAAAGCTATTCATAATTCATAATTTCAAGGAACGAGTTCCAGTAAACTGGAATTTTATAGGCTGTAATTAACTACAAAAACTGATTAAATTAGCAGCTGATAGTTTCACTATCTACATAAACTTGTTTCCAAGCGTGGAAGCATTAGGATATATTATTTCTCAGCTCAGTAGACGATTCTTATTAATTAAATCAACGCATATTCGCAAAATATTATAAACAAGAAAGTCAAGGAAGTTCAATGCGTTCGCATTTCAAGTTGAACTAACTATAGTTTATTCTATAGAATATATGTATTTAGTTAAATACGTATATTTGCTAACCCATTTCTCTATTTCAGCAGAAGAGCCTTCAGCAACAGCGACTGGCTATACGGAAACTTTCAACAACAATAATGTAAACAAAGCGCAATGAGCACAATGACCAATAAAAATAACCTTGACCGTAACCATCAAAACCTG